AGGGTATTCTTGCTTGTGAACTTTAGGTATATCAAAGATGTGGGAAGTGATGTTGCAGTGTACTGTTAAATGTTTTACAGTTTCATTTCGTTGTTCATTGAGGAGTTCGTTAATTTGTTTCTATGTTAGCAGTTGAATTGGAGTGCAGTGGTCATCTTCAATTATAGTTTGTATCTTGGTGGTATTAGTTTTCTCCTTTTGTCCATAATTAATCTGATATGATCTTAGTTTCCTGATCGAATTGTTATGATGTGTTATTTCTCTAAGTTTTAGAGGACAGTTTTGTGTGTGTTTTTTTCCTATGAAGATAGTATTATAGTATTTTGGGGCTTTCTAGCTTTATTTTGATTTTGAATTCTTCCTTTTCTTCTTTTGGTAGTCTTTAAGTTTTGTATTGTGTGGTTGTAGTTATATCTAGGAAGGGTATTTTGTTTTATTAAGGCAATGTTTCTTCCTTTACTTAGTACACTTTATTCAGCTTCTGTTAGTGGTTGTTTATTCCAGTTTATTATAAGCAGTTAGGTATATGTATAATAGTATGAAGTTTATTGTTTTAAGAATTAATCAGTGAATTTAGTTTTGCTATGTAAATTTTGTTAGTACGCGCGCGTGTGTATTGATACGATGTTGAATAGCAATGCAGGTATTGATAATATATTTCTTTGTATAGATCATCAATGTTATTCTGTGCCTTATCTTTTTGTATGGTAATTTATAACGATCCTATCTTGGAGCTTGGCTTTATTAAAATTCTGAGCGAGATTTTATCATCTTGTGATGTTGATGAGTAATTAAACTTAAGTCCTTTAGGAGTTACGTTATATTGTTTACACTTGTGTAGGAAAGTGAAATGGTTATCAACTTTAACTGATTTACAGTTAAGTCTTTTTCTATCCCTAAATTCCTTACAAAGTCCGAATCCTTACTTGGTCTTCAAGTACTTAGTCATACGTGAGGTTGTGGCAATCGAATATTGATCATTGTCGTGGTTAGTAGCCTATACAATCACTTAAGTGTAATCATTAATTAGTTACTAATATGTTGTAATTGCTAGACACTAATTACTAACTAATTTTTATTCTACGTTTTGGCTATTGCCTTCTTCAGGGAAGTCCTAAGAAAGGCCATTTCTGTGATAACGGTGATCAGGATTCGATCGTAGATTTTCGTAACAAAGAAACTGTTATTTACTCACCTGGAGTCTCTTCCTTTAGGTATTTAATCAACTGATAACTTATTTTGAAAGATGTCAAGAAGGATATCCAAATTATAATATCTTCAATGGTAGGTTGGCTGAGTGTGTTATCAGTTAGGTGGATCTAGAAGGCTTTTGTATCTATGTTTCTCTCGTGTATGGTTCATATCTCATTATTTTAGAATTATTCTAATTTTCTGTATGGTCTTTTCTGGCATGATGAGTTGTTATAGATAGATCGGTATCACAAAGTCTTGTATGTCGGTTATGCTCCTAAATTCAGATTTTCTTAGTATATTTCTTTTTTATTGTTTTGGAATTCACAAAGAATCTTGTAAAAACACCTATACTTCATCACTATAGAAGTTAGGAATATTGTAAATGGTGCTTTTAATCCATTGGAGTTTAGGTGGTTTACACTTATTGTGTTGTGGCTTTTGAAATTTTTGTTTATTCTGGAAACTAGATAGTCTACGACAACTGTCTTTATGCTGTTGGCGTGATTTGATGTACATTTTAGTTGAAGATGTAAGCGTAAGTTTAATCCAACCATCAGCACAAAGAAAGAATTTGGAACATACAGTCAAGAAATTACCAGTATTCCACATTACCGCCACACTTTTAGGTGTACTTACACTTCACTAGCAAGGTCAACTTCTTTGACCTATAGTTAACTGCAAATATTCACCATGCACTCTATAACTAGATAGCTTGTAGATATAATATCAACACTAACAAATAAAACATTTTCATATGTTAATAATTCAGTCCATTTTGTAGAGATTGTAAAATCAATCACCTCGCAAAACAAGATATTCAGCTTCGGCACAACTCCGCTATAACTTTATCCCATCACTAAATTGTTCATTGTCCAGGTACTTCATCCAGGCAAACAATGGTCCATAAAGACTCAAGGAAAGATGGTATCTGATGTTAAGTCCACTCATTACAAGCAGTGATCTGCTTGAAACATTTTATAGAAGTGGTCAAGGTCTTCCTTGGCTGTACTCTTAAATACCAGTAGATAATTCTACTTCCCCTTAATGATAAGGACTTGTGATTGTGGCACCTCATCTATATCTGAGCTGAATCGCACAGTGTCATGGTCACAGGTAGAGTTGATGTCAAAGCACTCCACATTCAACAAACACTTGGTCCCTGCTCATGATAACTTGTAGATTTCATCCTATAGTCACCTATATAGTCTCCTTTGACTGGTCGCGACTAGGGTTGGAGCTTGGCTACCCTGATCAGCAACAATTTGTGTGTTTTATAGAGAACTTCCCACTTAGACTCAGGACCACAATCCCACAATTCACCAGGTAGACCCTCATTTGTCCATGTCTTCTGTAAGCCAAGAGTAATGATAAGAGGTAGAAAGAACTTGGTCAGCTGCTATAGAAGTAACAAGCTGTAATTTTCTTTTATAAGTAGGCAGGTCCCTTTGCTGCATTGGTAAAATACTAATTCCAGTAGTGGTCTACCCTCAACATCGAACTCTTTCCCTAGTACACACGTCCATCTGGAATATGCTATTTCCAACTTTTATCAAATTACAAAACTTGTACTACACCGGAGTACAAAGGAGCATAGAAAACGACAGTCCTCAAAAATCTGAAAAATTCCACAAAAATTCTGTGGTGACGGAACCAAAATTTAACCTTTCTACCTTACTCTGTTATTCAAAGGTTCATTGATAACTTTACAAATAAGAATAATACCTGGAGAAACATCAGAAAATGTATTTTGGACTTAAAGCTGGAATTTTGACTTGTTTGTTTGTTTTGTTTTTGAATTTCGCGCAAAGCT